AGCTGCAATTCAAGCCCTAGAAATCTGGGAAGAACTGAAGCCTTGAACGGAGTATTTCCCTTTGGTAGGATGGTCTGAAATCTCTTTTCTACTGACTACAGAAGGGAAATATTTCTTATTTCTGTTACAGTTCTCCAGTGGTTTCCCAAAGAATTTTCCACCTGCACATTTTGAGAATGCTATGAGATGTTTGGCTTAGCCCTCTCCTTCTCAGGAACATAAGTTACCATGGCGGTCTCTTAGCTACTGCAGTGTATGCCAAGGACTCAGAGGCAAATCTCAGGGAGCCCAAGCACGAAATGAAGCTCACTTTGGTGGCTAAAAACTCTTCGTGTAGCACTGATTTCAGGTCTCTTTCATTTGGGTTTATTTTTGGACAAAGTCTCTCTATGGTAGGTTCGACCCTGGAAAGTAGGCAGAAAACGTGATGTACACCTTTTCTAACAAACTAGGAAATTTCTCTCTATGGGAGGGGGAAAAAACAGAACAAAACAAAAAACCCTGCAGTTCACTCCAGACAGGTCAAAGAGCAATCCCAACTAAGGATTCTGCCCAAAGACGGAGTTTAGAAAGTTTTGTCCAATTGCTCTGTAAGAAGGGGGTAGAAGATCCAACAACAGCCTATGTCTCTGTCTGGTGCCCAATGCCTGCTAAATGTCAAAACCTATCTCCAAAATTTGCACAAGGGAAACCCATACCTAGAAATATTGAACGTGGCTGTGGAGAATGAATAGATTAGACACCCAGTAAACAATACCTGGCAGGAGATAACAATGAAAACCTTTAGTGAGCCACCTACAGATAGGCTAATCAGTTTAGAACAGGAACAAACATTTTACACTTTCTAGTAAAGCTGGTTCCATTTTTTTGGATCCATTTATTCTAATACAAGAGCCACATTTAAGCGACAGCTGATATCACAGCAGGAAAATGGTGGAAATGGTTCCTGCCCTGTCCACAAAGAGAACCAGAAGCACAGCACCTTCACCTGTACTTAAAACGCCTGGGCCAAATATGCTATAACTCTCCTTAGCAGCTTCTGTGCATCAATACAACTGTAACTAAACACAGTTCTGATGCCAGTGGGGATAGGGCTCTGATTTAAAGATCACTTCTTTAAAAAAGTAAAGTAGTAATAGATTTTTTTTCCATTGTATTGTGTTGGCAATAAAGAGATTACAGCATATTTGATAGTGTGAAAGCACAGTTTGATTCAAGGACCTTTCACGTTATAACAGCGGACATCAAATGATTCCACAGATTCTGTATTTTCTTAGTATTTTTAGAACCATTTCTAATATTTACCAGGGTTTCATGACCCTTCTTCAAAGGCAGTTTAGAGCACTTTGTTTCATGTAATAAAATTTGGCACGTCAAAACACACACCTTGTGAATGAATTATTGTTATCCAACCATCTTGCAGAACAGTAAAAAAAGACTAGACGGAATGCAAGCGGCATGTCCATCCCTTTCCAGTGTACCGTAGATATTCTGTCCATGTAGTTCTTTGTTTCCCCATCTGCTCCGGCTGTTTGTTCTTCACCTGAAGTTCTCTCATTTGTGACACCACAGTTAACTGCTGTGGTAAATGCATGGTAGGAGCAAACGGTATATGTATGAAACAAAGACCCTCTTTTTAGGCAAAAACAACACAGGAGGGGAAAAATCAAGGAAATAAATAATCAAAAAATATAAACAAAACTATTTTTAAATACGGTTTTGCAAATATTAACATGAAGATTTAGATGATGTAGAAGAATTCATTCCAGATCACAGATTTTTATTTAGGGCTTGTTGACATATAAAAGTTAATCCGGAATAAGGAAGTGTGTGAATTTAAAGCATATTATCTATTCCAGTTCGTACATTAAGTTCAGATTAACCGTGTCCACACATGGAGTTAATTAGGAATAGCTATTCCAGAATGACTGCCCAAGTACACAAGCCCTTGTATAGTAACTTTTATCCAAAGTGCTGCATACGCATAAAAGAAACATACAGGATCACTATTGACTTGTTTGTGGCTGAGTGACAATACCTTACACTCACAAGAGACAAAGTTCATAATAAGAAAGTTTTGCAGATGGGTTTTAAAATCACAGAGTATCAGAAAGAGGTGGAGGAGGGGAAGAAAGTGCCAACTCTAGGGCTATAGAAAGAAGAGGACAATATTTAGAAACGTGCAGATATGAAAGGGGCAATTAAAGGAAGAAGGACCAGATCAAGCACTGAACTGTAAGAAAGAATTTTTAAATTGACAGCACAGATGGACAGCAAGACATTGAAATGAAAGCAGCAGCAACATGAATGGTGAGAGAGCAAAACAGTACATGTGTTGGGTGGTTAGTCAACTGAGGTGACCGACGAGAAGATTTTGGAAAAGCAGATCAATAGCAATGCAGAAATCAAGGCACAAAACAAGCAGCTCAAGGATGAGGATTTGTACTGTAATGTAAATAAGAAGCCTACAGAGAGATGTTAAACCTTGCAGATATCACCCTCTAAACAAGAGAAAAGGGTGGAAAAAAGTTGTTAGTTGAAGATAACATCAAGACTCATAGAAGCAGCAGCAACCAGATTGATGGGAGTATCATCATCAAGTAAGCAGTGGAGATGAAGAGAGAACATTCATCTTCGTCATATCTAATTTAAAGCAAGTGGCTTTAGTCCAAGTGGAAATGGACTCAAGCAAGGTAGAAAGAATTATGGGTATATGAGAAAAAGGAAAGGAAAGAACACAACTAAATGTTACCCTATGATTGGGCCTGAACGGATAATCACACCCAGCGAGTGAGTTGGAAGAAATAGACTAGGAGACCAAGAACAGAGCCCTTTGGCTGAGACAGAGAAATGGTTGTCCCAGGATACCCTAAATAACAAGACGAGATAAGAAAATCATTGGACTACAGTCAGAAAAACAACTGAGGCAATGAAAAAAAGAAGTCAGTGACTCTCAGATGCTGAGAAGTCAAGAACAGAAGTAAAATTTTTGGCTGCAACCTCAAGCAACAATAAAGTGACCTGATAGAAAGCCAAACTGGAAAGGCTGAGTGAATTAAGGGCAAATATGAAAATAAGATTTCTGTTCCAAGATTTTAGAAAGGACTGCAGGGAGAAGGAAGAATCAATAGAAGGCTTTTTAAGAATAGGGAAAATAGCGCAAAAGAGGGATGGACAGAGCCTGAGACCAGAGAAGTCTTTTCAGTGGCCAAAGTCTGAGATTAGGCAGTGGTTTGGTAACAAAGCTATCTTTAATTATAAGAAGTTACAGTAATTCACTTTTTTCATAGCAAGTTTTCAGAATCTTATTGAACTTGTTTTATTCCCACTACAGTCTTCAGTGACAGTGATTAATTCCATTTCATTTTCAGTCCTTATTATCGCAGACTGGATTTGAACTGGCAACTCGGAGACTTATCCTATCAGTCATCCAAGCCCCAATACGTGCTTTATTTGAAATGTCTTCAGAAGTTTCAAACAGCGCCCCAGACAAAAGGCTGTTTTTAATGTCCAGAAACTCCTGTGTATTAGATGTATTCCTAATTATAAACAATTTATACATCACTTTTAACAGCAAAATTATACTCCTACGGTTTTATATAACCAGTAAATTCTAGGACTGACTTTTTATTGCATTATGACTCAGGGTATAAAGCATTAAGTTGTTCTTGCATCAGAATGCTGGACGGTCTTAATCCTCATTTTTAGTGGGGGAGTTGCTATGCAGCATAAGATAACTGAGATCAATACAGGAGAAATGTAATGGCCTATGATATAGATCCCAAGGCCAGAAGGGACCATTGTGGTCATCTAGTCTGACCTCCTGTAGAACACAGGCCAGAGAACTGCCCCAAAATAATGGCTAAAGATCTGCTCTAGAAGACAGCTATTCTTGATTTAAAAAATGGTTAATGATAGGGAATCCACCACAAACCTTGATACATTGTTCCAGTGGTTAATTACTCACTGTTAAAAATTTACACCTTATTTCCAATCTGAATTTGTCTAGCTTCCACTTCCAGCCATTGGATCATGTTGTACCTTTCTCTAATAAACTGAAGAGCCCATTATTAAATATTTGTTACTCAGACTGTAATCAAGTCACTTCTTAACCTTCTCTTTGTTAAGCGAACGAGATCAAGCTCTTGGAGTCGATCACAACAAGGCAGGTTTTCTAATCTTTAATCGTTCTCGTGGCTCTTCTCTGAACCCTCTCCAATTTATCAACATCCTTCTTGAATTATTGGCCCTGGAAAACACAGGATTCCAGCAGCAGTCGCACCAATGCCAAATACAGAGGTAAAAATAATCTCTCTGCTCCTACTCAAGAGACCCATTTATGCATCCCACGATTGCATTACTCTTTTGGCCACAGCGTCACACTGGGAGCTCGTGTTCAGGTGATTATCCATCATGACCCCCAACTCTTTTTCAATGTCACTGCTTCCCAGGATAGTCGCCTCATCCTGAATGACCTACATTCTTTGTTCCTAGATGTATACATTTACGCTTAGCCATCTTAAAATGCTTGTTTGCTTGCACCCAGTTTACCAAGCTATCCAAATCACTCAATCAGTGACTGTCCTTTTTATTATTAACCACTCTCCCAATCCATGTGTCATATGCCAAGAGGTCAGACTAGATGACTTAATGGTCCCTTCCAGCCTTAGGCTCTAGGAATTTACCAATAGCTGTTGAACAGTTTATACATTGCAGTGGTTTGAGGCTATTCTTCAGTGATTTAGATACAAGGAGGGGAACACAACTGAAATTAAACCACTGATTTGCTGGGGCTTAGCATTAATTTTTATGTTTCATAGAAACATTAAGTACACCTCTGAAATTCAATTCAACTGGAATTAGAGGGAGCATCATTCATAAAGATATACTATCCGGAAAGAATCACGAAGATTTGTGTTCCCCTCAGAACTGCTGGAGAGGCAGCATCTCACATTTCAATAGAGGGAACTTCAAAGGCGCTTCGATACAGTACAACTGGGCTAAGTACAAGCTATTTTTCAAATCTGACAAAAGTATATAGTATAACAGTGAAATGTGAGACTGTGGCAAATGGCTGATAAGAAATACAAAAGACTGGAGTATGATTTCTTGTGTTTCATGTAGAAATTCCCAGTAAGAAAGTTATTTGATTGACTACTTTAACTTCTGGCTGGCAGTGCAGGCAGAAAGCATGGCAAGTGGGGAAAAGCACAAGCTATGCCAATGGACATAAGTTCAAATCCTGACAAACAGGGGTTTTCCCCCCCTCTCCTTATTTAGACACATCAGACCACCTCAACATTCAGTCTTTGTTCAAAAGACAGGCTTGGACAACAGAGGGTGCTGCAGCTCAGAATTGGGGTGCATTTACAGAGCTGTGCCTGCCACAGCAGGACACTAATGGTTAACGCCATTGCAGTTGTCCCTCTTTTGCATAGGCTGTTAATTCTCTTACAAATTAAGATACAAGAGTTATTCTTTGCCAGACTTTAACTACTAATATTACATAAGTTGGTTTCATTAGAAACCAATTTCTCTTGCAATTATGAGACAGTATTTAGCATCGGTCACTCATTTTAGACTTGTATGCTGAGTCGCATGCTCTTTAAATGTGGGGTGACTATTTTGTCCCATAACCAAGCACACTGATGTCACCCCTCAACCCTCTTAAATGTAGCCTGTTAAGAAGCCTCCTGTCCTGCCTTGAGGATTCTCCTCATTTCCTCATCTTGCAGAAGCAAACTCTTGCTGAACTTGCCTTCAACCCCTTGAATGGAAGAGGTCTAGCGAGGCTGATCTGGCGGCTGGCTGAAGATGCAGCAACCTCCGACAAACTTGCAACTATTTCCCCTATCCTGTTATGGCTGAAGGAAGGGAACCAGTTATGATACCACGGTACTTCACAACAATGCTAAGTAGCACAGAGCTGTAGCTGCAATTCATGCTATGTGTTAAATATACTGACTAAGGCTCAGCCAAGTCAATGTGCTAAATGAACAAGCAAGACATTCTCTCCTCGGATAAATATCTGGTTTATATGACGTGTAAACACCTGCTGATAATCCACTTTGGGCCTCCGTTTTTTCCGTGGCTGGCCTTTTGCATTAGCACCCCCTGCACTAGTACTCTCTGTCTGGGCAGTCCTGCTCGGCAGGTCAGCCTTATTCCTGACTGCCAGATGCAAGTTGTCATTTGTTGTCTTCTTTTCTTCAGCTCCACTCAAAAATTTCTGCATCCCACACTCGTCCTCTGCTCTCCCCCGTCCTGACCCAGCTTTCCGTCCAAACATCTTGGATTCATTTGTCAGGGCTGGCTCCTCTGCTGCAGTCCTTGAGTCAGCTCCCTTCTTTATCAAGGACTCCTGCAGTTTGAGTCTGTCAAACAGCTGCAAGGGAACATTCAGGTAAACGATCACATTCATGAACAGAGGAGTCTCATTCTCCCCTCCTAAATGAAGCACTGAGCACCTGGCCCAGAATCAGCAGCCAGGACACATGATTGGTGGAGAATTTTATCATCAACCGATATTAGATTTTTGCCAGAGTTAGACCAAGAAGTAAGGTGAATGGGTGTCTCACGCATACAGATCTGCCAGACTGACTATGCAAGAGTGCCTTTAGCATCTCCTGACTAATAGGGAGTTTGGTTTTGCAGGGGCGATACTGCCGTGGAGGCAGTACTCAACACTATGGCAGGGAAGACAGGAGTCAGCATGTTGTTCAATGACCTCTAAACCACCCTCTACCCCAAAAACAATCAGATAGTTCTAAAAGAATCCCTATCCTCTCCGCCTCAGCCAGGAGACAAACAGCTGTGACGTGGAGCCTCGATATGTCAGGACTTCATTCAGCGAGAACAACAGATCCTTGGTGCCCCATTGTCTCATTAAAGGAGCCCCAGAAGAGGGCCGTTTTGAGAGGTGAGCGGCCAAAACCAATAGTAACTATTCATAAAAATGCCTAGGATAGCAGAACTGATCAATAAAGAGTTAATTACTCTGAAAATGTAAAGGTGCTGAAGTTGGAAAAGAAATTATTATGCTGGCATTATGTGTATTATGTGCAATGCTGACATGTGAAACAAACACTGGATTGCTTGGCATGTCCAATCACAGGGTTTCTTAATGGAACCCCCCCCCCACCCCCCATATGAATGGGCTTAAAAGGAACACTGGCAACTTGAATATTTAACTGATAGATTTCAAAAAAAGAGGGGGGGAGAGAGAGAAGGGGAATCTATCCAAACAGATTTAAATAGTATGTCCCCAATTTAAAAACAAATTCCTTATAATAAACTTGTTCAAGGATTTCTCGGCTCCTCTGCTGAGGTTTAGAAAAGTTTTTTGAGCAGGCCCAAAGCAACAACATTAAACATGCATCTCCTGTCCCGCCTCATCCTCTTCCTCGCTGTTCATGTGTCTGTCTACTGCCTCCTCAGTTTCAGCTTTGCTGTAACTGGTAAATGCCCTCTTGTGGTGCTTGGGAAAACAGCAAGCATGTGAGCTCCAGAGCAGGACATGAGAGGGATATTTAACAGATATTCAACAGACTGACATTCAAATGACTACCAAATGACCAGTGAAACTGACTATAGATGCAATGCTGTCACATGCACAAAATAAACAAATTGTAATAAAAGTGTGTGTGGCGGGGGAGAGTTTTCTCTGAGCTCTTTCAGTTCTAGTAATCTTCTAGGGTTATCTGTAAAAGTTACTACAGGTCTGTCTCATCTTACGCTGGGGTTACGTTCCACAGTCAGCGCCTAAAGCAAAAATCGCCTATAGTCAAAATTACATTGAGTGCAATGGCGGGCGGATTCGCCCGCACTACAGAAACAGTATTTAAATTGTTATTTTTCTCTTTTTTTGTTTTTGTTTTGCCAACCGTGTAAAGCTGAAATCGCACATGTTAAATGCGCCTAAGATGCGACAGACCTGTACAATTTCAGATGGAAATGCTACCTTTTTAACGACTACAAAAATAAGGCATAGAAAGTCAGTTGTTAAGCTATTAGAAAGCTATTTACCCTGGTAAGAGTCAGCTGAGGTTCACTGTAGAACGCTTTGCCCAGTACAGGCTTTCTGTATGTCTCATCTACATCTGTCAAGGCCTGGAAGAAGACAAAGGGAAAAGTTCAAGATAAAGTTCTAAACACTCTGACCTTCAAAACAGCTTTGTATCCTACCTTATACAGCCATCGAAAAGGGTCTTGTCTCAAGGACAATCTAGGAACAAGCACTACATAGGAATGTGTTTCTTTAGGTATAAAAGCAAAGAACCTGTAGCGCCTAGCAGCTGCTTCTACATTACTTCTACATCCTCCCCATCATCCTCACACACACATATCTTGGGATATAAAACAAAAGTAACACTGATTTTTCCCAACCTTCTCCCACCTTCAGGGCTCAAAACCCTTTGATGGCTGCCTTCCCTCCATCCAATTTCCCCTCTCAAAATCTTGGGGCAATCTTGCCTTGCTCGGCTTTTGTAGCACTGAAACATGGTAGTCTGTCCCCTTTAAGGAAATGGGGCCTTGGGGTCAGCTCACTCTCCATCACGTGGTGTGGCCCTTTAAGATTTTGACAGGTCTGATATAACAAAGTTGTAAGAGATTTTGGTAGAGAGGAAGTGGTCACAGGAATAGGTAGTGTTTGGGAGGAAATCCCATTACTGTTTCTTTAAGGACCTGGAACAAGGAGCCTTTCAGAATGGACAAATCAAGGCTCCCTTTTCTCCCAGCCAATTGAGATGAGCTTTAGGAAGCAGACCAGCATATATGCTGCCTCTTCCCTCATAGCAGGAGTAGGCCTGCTTGCTGAACTCTTTGACCCTGAGAACTAACTGAGGAAGAGGGCCCAGCTGACAGAGAAGATGGCTAAGGCCCTACAGCTGACCTAAGATACAAACACAGTTCCAAGGGGAGAACTGGGGGACTCTTGCCTTAAGGAGAGACAGAGGGACTGCATGAAGCACTACCCCAGCTCCATGGAATATGTGGAAGAAGAACTTAACATGTGGAAAAGACAGTAGTTTAAGGAGTGACATCAAATGAAAGAAAATCAGTCTCCTGAAGAAAAAAACAAAGAGGTTCAGAAGGTCAAGGTAAGGAAAATGATCCGGGGGGAAGGGGGAGGGCAAAATGAGCAAGAAAAATTGTTTTGAGGAAAGACAGGGGAGTAGTTTCCAACACACCATGCCTAGATCCTGCAGAGAAGACTTTAGAAATTTCTGCTATCCCTTATATTCTAGCTCCCTGTGTTTGGTAAACTCTGGAAACTGTGAAATACATCCTAGCATTCAGTACAAGGGCAAAATGGGTTCATGACTGACGATACTACACTCCCACCTCCTCCAAGTTTGCCAGTTTAGTCCCTCTCCCAGTGGACGTTTAGGTGTTTCCAGTGCAGAGGTTGTAAGTCAAGGAGTAGTACAATAATTACCATATTCCAGAATTTGTCGAACGCAACCAAAAACCCTGTGCAGACTCCACGCAGTCCCTTGAAAGTTCGGATGTGGACATTGACTTTTACACCATCTCTGACGCAACGATGTAGCTCGCCAAGAGGGCTGCCTTCATGAACTAGAACAGATATGAAACACCATCAGTGAAGTGTATATTTTATACACAACAACAACAAAATACAGAGGGCTCCGTTCTTTCTAGTAGTACAAGAGAACCTGCTTGGAGGATACTATTTTATAACCAAATAAAATGGAAATCCAGAATTGTTACAATGTATTGCATTAAGCCAACTGTAATTCCCAGTGGAGCACACCTCTACTTACAGTGGGATAAAAAGATTGTGGTATATGACAGTCTCAATGCACACAACTGACAGTCAAAACGGCCTATGGGCTTGTCTATACTGGCACTTTACAGCGCTGCAACTTTCTCTGGTCAGGAGTGTGAAAAAACACCCCCCCTGAGCACAGTAAGTTTCAGCGCTGTCAAGCGCCAGCGTAGACAGTGCACCAGTGCTGGAGCCACACTCCCAGCGCTGGTAGCTACGTCCCTCGTGGAGGTGGGTTTTTTTAGACCACTGGGAGAGCTCTCTCCCAGCTCTGTGCCATGACTACACAAGCCATGTTAAAGCGCTGCCACGGCAGTGCTTTAACATTGCCAGTGTAGACTAGCCCATAGTGAGGACAGGAAACAATTTTGCTACGTCTGAAAAACACCCACTTAATCTGAATGTTCAGATAAAAGGAGTTTACAAGGAACAGTGCAAAGGGCAAGAACCCCATCCCTGCCTAGAATGCTCAGGGTACATGTTCCATGTAGAAACAAGTGTAATGATGCAAGTCCCAAGAAGGCAGCCATCTTATGGGAGTACTGCTTCTCTTTACAAGGAAACTTTGAAACAGTGGATCACTAGAAGATCTTTGACCAACTAAGTTGAATCAGTGTGTAATTTACGGAGAGCTTCTTGGTTCAGCTGAGACTTAGTGGCTAGCAACCACTAATGCAGTACTCTCCCCAGCATCATACATCCCTCAGTGTATTTCACAGTGGGTTACTTGAGTGGACCATGCTGCACAGTATTTATCTAACAAAGGTTTACTTCATTCCTTGAGGTAGAAGGGAAAGGACTAAACTCCAGCCCCAAATGAGAGTTTGTTCAACTGCAGAACAGCACTTGTTTTAGTCTTAGTGAACAGCCATTAGCGAGGAAGCAGAGCCAGGGAAAACTGCGTAACAGGCCTGCCACAACATGCAGTTTGTCTACACACTCGCACAGTAATTCACCTGGGATGCAGCTCCATGACAATCCAGTGGTCTGCATACAGCTGTCACCTACACTACCACTGGTGAAGCTG